TCTGTATTCAAGCTGACATTTAGTTGAGTTAAACACTTATTCTACCAGAGTAAGTACTTATACTTCACTAAAGTATCAGACTACTTCTTCCTGTGTACTTATACTTCTCTAAAGTATCAGACTACTTATTCCTGTGTACTTATACTAAACTAAAGTATCAAAGTACTCCTCCTCCTGTGTACTAATACTTCTCTAAAGTATCAGAGGACTCCTCCTGTGTACTTATACTCCTCTAAACTATTGTAGTACTCATCCTGTGTACTTATACTCCTCCTGTGTACTTATACTTGTCCTGTGTACTTATACTCCTCCTGTGTACTTATATTCCTCCTGTGTACTTATACTTGTCCTGTGTACTTATACTACAGTAAAGTATCAAAGTACTCCTCCTCCTGTGTACTTATATTTCTCTAAAGTATCAGAGTACCTCTCCTCCTGTGTACTTATACTACACTAAAGTATCAGAGCACCCATCCTCCTGTGTACTTATACTACACTAAAGTATCAGTGTACTTATACTACACTAAAGTATCAGTGTACTTATACTACACTAAAGTATCAGTGTACTTATACTACACTAAAGTATCAGAGTACCCCTCCTCCTGTGTACTTATACTCCTCCTGTGTGTACTTGTACTCACTCAGACATGGTGGCGTGTTTTCTCTCCACACCCTGCATGAGGACAGAGGACAGAGGACAGAGGGCAGAGGGCAGAGGACAGAGGACAGAGGAGAGAGGACAGAGGACAGAGGAGAGAGGGCAGAGGACAGAGGAGAGAGGACAGAGGACAGAGGAGAGACGAGTTAATTTGAGGAAACCTCTAAAGTCTTTTGACCTCTGAGGTGTTTTGACCCCTGCAGGGAGCCGTAGTTTCGGGTTTCGGGTGTCGGTGTGAGTTTCTCTCAGAGCAGCAGATTTTCTGACGGAGTATTTGAGGCGTAAGGCGATCCGAGGCCAGCTGGAGAGGAGCGGCGTCGCCTGAACTAAACTGGGAACGCCTCGAGTGTCCGGAGACGCAGAATCAGCGAAGTGTTAAATATGAGGAATATATCCCAAAATACACTTTGAGGATTCTTTTCATTTTCAGATCTTTTTCCTCTGAGTCATTCATTAACTTCTAGTTTCATTACTTTTTTTGAATTTATTTTTTTCAAATAATTATCTCTGTTTTATTTTCCAATTTAATTTATTTTTCTAGTTTTTTAAAATAATGAAACAACTAAATATATCGAGCACATACACACAAACAACTAAACAATTATCAACACCTCAAAATCAAAACAGCTGCTTTACATAAATGCATAAGTATATATTTTCCGAAAGTATATAATACTTTATAAAGGGTCATTTGGCATAAGAAGTACTTTTGCTTTAGGTACTTTAATCTAATTTGATTGCTAATATTAATGAATACATTGATTTGTTTCAGTGACTTCTCAAAGACCCACATTCAAACGCTTCAAAAGCTGCACAGTGTTGATTGTTTAAAGTTCTATTACATTTCAATTAACACAATTCGACACTTAATATAAAAACTGAGAAGTGAAAACTCCCTGCCGCAACAGACGAATAAACGTATATATATATACTCTGCCTACTTTCCATTTTAACGACCAATTAACAGAGGATTACTGTAACCAATGAAACGCTTCTAACTTCGAAAAGCTGCACTAAAGTTTACGATTTAAGAATTTCAATCAATGAATTCAGATTGTTTTTGTTTCAGCGTGATATTAAACCTGTCAGTAACTCAGACATCACAATGACACGTCGGTATGTTGGCCGTCTGACAGTTTGAGGACTTGAGTCTCTGTCAGGACCATAAAACACAGAGAGTACAGCGCCCGTAAATCTGTGGAGGAAACGGGTCGAGCGCAGAAAGCGAGTCAGGCAGACAGGTGGAGGAACACGAGGAAGTCTGCAGGGATCAAATCAAAGATGCTGCTCTCAGAGAAGCTGCTGGAGAGAATACCAGAAGAGAAGAGAATACCTCACCTATTGAAGAGACGAAGGAGAAGAGGAGACGCACTCGTGGAAGGAAGGAAAGGAGGCACTGCCAAAGCTCCACAGAGGAAAGTGAAATCGGGTATATATGGTGGGTTGCGATGTCTCAGCAAAACGCTCACGTCCTCTTTAGGGAAATGGAATTCCCTGATCGACCAATGGGCCGGCGAGATCCTTAAAATACACCGAGCTGCAAAACGCCCTCCCCGAGAGCAGGCTTGGAAATGCAGATTCACACGAGAGGAGGGGGGGGGTATTAAGGAACATAAACAAGAGGCCATTATCTGACCTCAACTGCCTTTTGAAAACACCTTTAATTCCAAAACAGTCCCTTAAATAAACCCTTAAAGTTGTTTTTGAAGAAAGAACTTCCATTTGAATCCATGTCCTTACCAGCTTCCCATTAACACTAACTTTTAACATTTCTGTTTGTGAAGTCCTGATGAAAAGCTTTTTAATGATCGAGTCCAGTCTTCTTGTTCAGATGGATTTGGTATAGATCCTCTCATCACAAAAAGTATTTCATAAAACACTTTAATTTCCAAGCAATGTTTTTGAAATAAGTTGAAATAAATGTATAAAAGTTAAATAGCAGAGAACAGTTGCTTCATTAGAAAGATTTTTTATTTTTTTTGATTGTTTGCTAAGTTTTATTTGCATTTCTGTCCGCCAACAAAAAGACATGAAGAAGTGTTTTGGTATTTTTGGGGAAATTGTTGATGAAAAAACTGAAGTAGGGTAATTTGATGTATTTACACTTGAAAAGACATAATGTCATATTTTTAACTACATTACATTTTTTTACTCCATTTTATTAATATTATTAAATTGGATTTGTTTGTGAAGCTTTTACAACATCTTTCAGTCTTCCTCTGTACTTACACTTCTCTTAAGTATCAGAGTACTTCTTCCTCTGTACTTATACTTCTCTTAAGTATCAGAGTACTTCTCGTCTGTGTACTCATACTACACTAAAGTATCAGTGTAGTTCTTGAGCCGATTCCGTGTGAACGGAAGATTTTTTTAAAATCGACTTCGGTTTGAGATTGGTTTCGTCTTCGTGTGGGCGGGGCCTCAGTCTCCTAGGGCAGAAACTGTGGCCACCAAATCTTTGTTGTGGATTTACAGACCAAGCAGCAACTGACTTTAGCATCAAAACATGGACGTTAACATTTAGGGTAACTATAGCAGGTAGAGTTGATTGGACAACTGATATAATTGATATACAGAATTTAGACCATATCACAATCCCAAATAGGTGCTAGGAAACTGAAATCTTGCAACAAAAAATTTCTTCCCCTTTGATTTTTCCCCCTAAATGTCTCTTCCGGGCCTCCGTAGATTTCAAGTTTTCCAAAGTCTAAAAGTCTTAATGCTTTAAAACCTTAATTAAAGTGTCAGTTTGGTGTAGGAAACAGAATAAGGAGTGATTACTAAACAGATAAATGTAACAAACAAAATAATCCTTATTTCAAAACATTTATTTCTAATGACTTCATGAAAACCTGTACATTTTAAAATGCAGTTTTTTCTTTCAGACATTTTAGTTACGTACACGTTGGCGTTACTTGGTGTTGATTCCGTCTGTCGGGGGGGGAGGAAGCTATCACAAAAAAAAAAGAGAAAAAGTCTGATCTGTAGACGTCTCCTCCTCGAAACCTTCGGGAAAACTTCTTAGGAAGTCTCGAACATCTTCTTCCTGTCGGCCTTATCGTCGATGTTCTTACGCCAATCCAGCGCTTCCGGCGTCTGGAGAGAAAACAACTCATTAATCAACACCAAAACACTCAATTTAAAGATGTCCTTTCATGCAAAGTGCACTTTATGAAGTCTATTATACATAAACATGTGTCCCCGGTGTGTAAGGAGAAAATAAAATGGGTGATCTGTTTGGTATTTTGAGCAAAACACTTCATCGACATGTTTTTTATATATCTGAGGCCTATAGATGAGAGTAACACCGACGTCACTCCTGGGCAAAAAGTAAGGCCCCGCCCACTTTTGGGGGAAAACAACGCTGTCATTTGAACGGCGGTCAATACAAATTCTGAAGTTTTCGCCAATCCGATCAGAAATGTAAGAAAACCGTGGATTTGTGGATCTTCAAAGAACCCGATTACGATGTCCAGTCAGGCAAACAGTTACATTCAATCATTGGAACTCGACGAGCGGGCTCCATATATGGTTAAATATAGCAGTTGGCGATCGATGTCCATGGATGAGAGTAACATCTACGTCACTTTACGGCCCCGCCCACTTTTGGGGAAACAAACGCTGTAATTTGAACGGCGATCAAGCCTGAAGCCACAGAGCTCTTCTGTTACTGTCCTTTCTTCTTAGAGGAAGTTCAGAAACACGTAACTCTGGATTTGTTTTAATGTTTGAGGTGCAATAAACGACACAGCAGCTTTTTGGCATGTTCAAACTATTATTTTCTGCCTCGCTCATGAGAGTATCAGCTGGAGAAATTACAACCTCGCCTACTGATTTTAATTTAACCATATATCGAGACCGATCGTCGATTTCAAATGATGTAATGTAATTGTTTGCCTGACTGGCCATCGTAATCGGGCTCTTTGAAGATCAGAAAATCCACGGTTTTCAAACGTTTCTGATCGGATTGGCAAAAACTTCAGAATTTGTATTGACCTCCGTTCAAATGACAGCTTTGTTTTCCCCCAAAAGTGGGCGGGGCCGTAATGTTTGCCCAGAAGTAACGTAGGTGTTACTCCCATCTATCATCTGCATAACTGGATATTTTATAATCTGTATAAAACAATAGTTTAGGAGTTTTTTTTTAATGATTTTAGATTAAAAAAGTAGATTTTATTGCAAGACTTGTGCTTTATTTAGACGATGTTTACATTGTGGAATGGTCATTTAATTAAATAATCCTAATATTTCTTGAGCTATGACTTTTCAAAATGGCTTCAATATAAAAGGATCAGCGACAAAAAAGTTAGAAACATTTTGAATGATCAGTCACAGGAGACATTTAACTGCAAGTACTTTTAAATTGTGTAAGTACATTTAGCGGTCTGTGATGATTTGCTACAGCTAAAGATAGCATTGCTGTCCTAAAGAAGCCACTGAACATTTATTTGGGTTAATTGACCAGCCTGTTATTATTTGTTACCGCAAATAGCGTAGCTAGCTAGCTAACAGCAGCATTCGTCACTTCATTCGAGGGCACAGCTATCATGTTTGATTTGAGACAATGCTACCCTGTTGAAATGCGCACACAGTATCCTGGTGTTTAATCCACCTTTCATTTCATTTGGTTGATTTAGCCGTCTGTAATGATTTGGTACCATACACAATAGCTAGCTAATTTAACGGTGGAAATTAACACACGGTATACTGGTGTTGTAAAGAAGCCACTGATAATTTATTTTGGTTAATCGAGCAGTCTGTTATTATTTGGTGCCGCAAATAGCGTAGCTAACTAGCTAACAGCAGCATTACCCTGTGAGGGCACAGTCTTCGCGTTTAATTTGAGACAACAGTCATGGTGAAAATTCACACTGGTGTCAAATCGAATCCACCTTTCATTTTAATTTGGTTGATTTAGCCGTCTGTAGTGATTTGGTAACATACACAATAGCATAGATAGCTAGCTAACTTGCTAACAGCTGCGTTGCTCACTTCCTTTGAGGTCACAGTTGTGACGTTTGAGTTGAGACAAAGCTACATGGTACAAATTCACTCGTCGCACAAGTGAACCACATGCAGTGTACTAAGGGAAGTATCTTAATGCGTGCTCCTTCCTCACCTCCTCTTTGACCTCCTTCTTGACCTGCTTCAGGTTGGACCTCAGATCCATGGTCACCTTGTGTTTTCCTCCCAGCAGAGCCTGAAGCATGGCGTCTGCAGACATACGCACTTTCTTCAGAGCGGGTTTCTTCACGCCGGCCAGATCCACCACCTTCATCTTCAGGTCCTCAATCTGAGGCACGGAAACATCTCAACGTGACTTTATATCAAGCTAATGCTAACGCTACATCCGCTAAAGAAGGAACAAGTGCTTTAATGCCAGGTAACCTTCAGATAGCAGCTGATTTTGTTGCTGATTCTTCATAATAACAGACCAAACACTACAGTGGTGGTTCTTATGGGTTACAGAGTTATGATAAAACGTCACAAGTAGCAGGAATAAGTGGTAAAAACATGCAAAAACCAACTAATCTACAACAACATCGGATAATTAATTTGCAAAAACAGATAACAGCCGTTCTTTCAGGGAAATATTTGACTTTTATTGCACTATATTTATCTTAAAAGTTTCTGTTACTGTTCAGATTCAGATTAAAAATACAAAATATCAACTAAAAAGGGAATATGTATTCGTATAGATTTAGCCACCCAGCAGTATTCAACGTTTTTTAACAATTTGTGGTACAGTAAACACATTTTGCAACAACAACAACAATCAATTCAATATTGTTATCAAATTGGGACATCCTCCATAATGAGGACTTTTACTTTTTTTACGTTCAGTACATTTTATTTTTTGTTGTTTTTATATTTCAGTAAGACGTTGACTGCTATGCTGTCTAATAAATACGTTTGTTTGGTAACACTTTAGATTAAGGTACACACATTCACCATCAACTAGCTGCTAATTAACATGCATATTAGGCTCTTTATTAGTCATTATAAAACACTTATTAATGCCTTATTCTGCATATTCTACAAGTAATAAGCCATTAGTTGAGAGTTTTTCCTCAATAACCCTCTAATTAGTGCTTATTTATTGCAAGTAAGGAAGTTGTTGTACATGAGTTTGGGTCTTAATATGCTCTGCTCAATATGGGCCTAATAAGGCAGCAGTACCACAAGAATAGGAATTCTCCCATAATAACACTTAACAAATATGATATATTCTTATGTAACAAGACATGAAACGTTAAGTGTTAATTAAGTCTAAATAACTCAAAATGTGGTATTTCTATCTAAGAACATGTTCCCTATTCTAAAGTGAAGTCTTGTTCATAACCAATAAGCTAGCAGTTTGACTCTAATCTGCATGTTGTTATTTATCTTCTTTACTTGCTTGTAAAGTGCTTTGAGCACCAGGAAAAGTGCTTTAAAAATAACATGTATTATTATTATTGTTATTATGTAAATAGGCAAGTAGTTGATGGTGAATAAGTGTACCTTAATATAAAGTGTTACTGTTTGTTGTATGTTTCAGTCGTACGTAGACTGCTGTCTGATAACATGTTCTTTGTATGTTTCAGTCGTACGTAGACTGCTGTCTGATAACATGTTCTTTGTATGTTTCAGTCGTACGTAGACTGCTGTCTGATAACATGTTCTTTGTATGTTTCAGTCGTACGTAGACTGCTGTCTGATAACATGTTCTTTGTATGTTTCAGTCGTACGTAGACTGCTGTCTGATAACATGTTCTTTGTATGTTTCAGTCGTACGTAGACTGCTGTCTGATAACATGTTCTTTGTATGTTTCAGTCGTACGTAGACTGCTGTCTGATAACATGTTCTTTGTATGTTCCAGTACCTCTAAGTCGCTCTTCTTCACTTTGGCCTCAGCGTCGTACCGTGAGTCGTCGACCTTATCCAGCATCTGGTGCAGCTTCTTGCAAAGCTCCTGACGATACACGAACAAACAACAAGAAACCATTTCAACGCACGACCTTTACTGTGAAGTACTTTCCGTGTGGTCTTAGTATTTAAAGAGTTGTATTAGTACTCAGTGTGTTATCAGTACTTCTTAGAGTTGTATTAGTACTCAGAGTGTTATCAGTACTTCGTAGAGTAGTATTAGTATTTAAAGAGTTGTATTAGTACTCAGAGTGTTATCAGTACTTCGTAGAGTTGTATTAGTATTTAAAGAGTTGTATTAGTACTCAGTGTGTTATCAGTACTTCGTAGAGTGGTATTAGTACTCAGTGTGTTATCAGTACTTCGTAGAGTGGTATTAGTATTTAAAGAGTTGTATTAGTACTCAGTGTGTTATCAGTACTTCGTAGAGTGGTATTAGTACTCAGTGTGTTATCAGTACTTCGTAGAGTAGTATTAGTACTCAGTGTGTTATCAGTACTTCGTAGAGTGGTATTAGTACTCAGTGTGTTATCAGTACTTCGTAGAGTAGTATTAGTATTTAAAGAGTTGTATTAGTACTCAGTGTGTTATCAGTACTTCGTAGAGTGGTATTAGTACTCAGTGTGTTATCAGTACTTCGTAGAGTGGTATTAGTACTCAGTGTGTTATCAGTACTTCGTAGAGTGGTATTAGTATTTAAAGAGTAGTATTAGTACTCAGAGTGTTATCAGTACTTCGTAGAGTTGTATTAGTATTTAAAGAGTTGTATTAGTACTCAGTGTGTTATCAGTACTTCGTAGAGTAGTATTAGTACTCAGTGTGTTATCAGTACTTCGTAGAGTGGTATTAGTACTCAGTGTGTTATCAGTACTTCGTAGAGTGGTATTAGTACTCAGTGTGTTATCAGTACTTCGTAGAGTAGTATTAGTATTTAAAGTGTTGTATTAGTACTTAGTGTGTTATCAGTACTTCGTAGAGTGGTATTAGTACTCAGTGTGTTATCAGTACTTCGAAGTGTAGTATTAGTACTCAGTGTGTTATCAGTACTTCGTAGAGTGGTATTAGTACTCAGTGTGTTATCAGTACTTCGTAGAGTAGTATTAGTACTCAGTGTGTTATCAGTACTTCGTAGAGTGGTATTAGTACTCAGTGTGTTATCAGTACTTCGTAGAGTAGTATTAGTACTCAGTGTGTTATCAGTACTTCGTAGAGTGGTATTAGTACTCAGTGTGTTATCAGTACTTCGTAGAGTAGTATTAGTACTCAGTGTGTTATCAGTACTTCGTAGTTTAGTATTAGTACTCAGTGTGTTATCAGTACTTCGTAGAGTGGTATTAGTACTCAGTGTGTTATCAGTACTTCGTAGAGTGGTATTAGTACTCAGTGTGTTATCAGTACTTCGTAGAGTGGTATTAGTACTCAGTGTGTTATCAGTACTTCGTAGAGTGGTATTAGTACTCAGTGTGTTATCAGTACTTCGTAGAGTGGTATTAGTACTCAGTGTGTTATCAGTACTTCGTAGAGTAGTATTAGTACTCAGAGTGTTATCAGTACTTCGTAGAGTTGTATTAGTATTTAAAGAGTTGTATTAGTACTCAGTGTGTTATCAGTACTTCGTAGAGTTGTATTAGTACTCAGTGTGTTATCAGTACTTCGTAGAGTTGTATTAGTACTCAGTGTGTTATCAGTACTTCGTAGAGTGGTATTAGTACTCAGTGTGTTATCAGTACTTCGTAGAGTGGTATTAGTACGTAGGTGTTGTATTAATATATTAATATTTGTTCAGTATGTTATTAGTGTTAGAGTAGTATAAGTGCCTCTCAGTGTTGTATTTATATTTTTTCAGTGTGTTATTAGAGGTATTAGTATTTTGAAAGTAGTATTTTCAGTGTGGTATTAGTACTTGTTTAGTGTGGTATTAGTATTTTTGATGTGATATGAGTACGTTTTCAATGTTGTCTAGGTATTTTCAGTTTGGTATACGTACTTTAGGTGTGGTATTAGTATTTTTAGTGTGTTAATATAGTTCAAAGTGTGATATTATATTATTTCAGTTTGTTACACGTCTTTTTAGAGGTGTGATCATATTTTCAGTGTGGTATTCGTACTTCTTTAGTGTTATATTAGTCATTGTTTGTGTGTTAATATAGTTCAAAGTGTGATATTATTTTCAGTGTGGTATTCGTACTTCTTCAGTGTGGTATTGTGGTATTTTTTGTGTGGTATGAGTTTTCAATGTAGAGTAGGTATCTTCAGTTCGGTGTACGTACTCTAGCTGTGACATCATGTGTTCAGCGTCATGTCAGTCCCATCTGGTGCAGTGTTAGGGTTAACTGTGGCTTTAGCACGGTTCCACATTGTGTTGCTTGTGGTTTTAGTGAGTTAAGTATTTGATTCATTCTTTTTCAGACTGTTATAAGTGTTTCTAGTATTTGCAGTGTGGTATTAGTCATTTGTATTGTGTTAATATACTTTAAAGTGTTATTAGTATTATATTATTTTCAGTGTGGTATCAGTATTGTTGATGTGATATGAGTACGTTTTCAATGTTGCCTAGGTATTTTCAGTTTGGTATGCATACTTTAGAGGTGTATTATTATTTTTATATTATTATATAATTATTATTATTATATATCAGTGTGGTATTAGTATTTTTTTGTGTGTTAATATAGTTCAAAGTGTGATATTATATTATTTTCAGTTTGCTATACGTGTTTTTAGACGTGTATTAGTACTTTCAGTTTGGTATGATACTTTTTGATATGTTATATATTATATATATGTTTTCAATGTTGTGTATGTATTTATTTTGTGTGTTATACGTGTTTTTAGAGGTGTATTAGTAAAGTATGTGTGGTATTAGTACTTCTTTAATGTGTTATTCGTGTTTTTAGAGGTGTATTAGTACTTCTTTAATGTGTTATACGTGTTTTTAGAGGTGTATTAGTACTTCTTTAATGTGGTATTAGTGTTTTTAGTGTGTTAATAGTACT